GCTTCATCATTCCTCAGTCATCCCCAACTGCCCCCCTGACCTTTTGATATCATTCTTCTTTTCTAAGAATGATATAAAATATCTCAATGCATGGATGCATCCAGACAGGCCAAAAATTCTCAGATGACAAATGTCCTGTTGTCATGTCCAGCCTCTGCTGATTCTGAAGAGTGTGGTACTAGTTCAAAACTTCAGTTGCTAATTGCAAAATACATATGGACCTCAGCTGAGCAATGGGAAACACACATTGAACACTGTTTTTAAACTAAATACATTCATCCTGTCACACCGGTGGTCATGCCTTTCTTCTCACCTTGCCTGACAGATTTTTAAGGGTCAATGGCACATACAATCCAAACAGTAAGCCACAGTAGGTACTTACTTTATAAATGAGTCACCAGGGTTGCATGCCTCACAACAGGACTAATAAAGAATTAGATTTCCTAGGTTAGGTGAGTTACCATATGCTGCACTCACACGACGCACATGTTTATCCTACTGTTGCTGATCAGTCACTTGAGCCTGTTCCTTAGCAATCTGATGTGACACATTCTGCTTTCGCTGCATATGTGAAAGTTCCCCTTTACGAGATGCATCAGGCCTAGCCATATAGTTAGCTGAGTGTATAGACTTACGTCAGGATAGTAATCTACATTGGGTACCAAGTGCTGGATCAGAGCTTCCAGAGACCCCGACAGGAGGTTGTTGTCATGGTAATAGAGCCCTTCACAGCTGTCCTCTTTTGGCTGATACAGGTTCCTGTTGTAGCTGCTGCTGTCAAACATAGCTGCAAAGGGAGGCGTCTGTGGCATCCTTCCCTGAGAAGACACACAAAAGAGATATGGGATAATTACCAGAAGGTGCAATGTAAGAGGCTTTCTACACTCCAGAGATAGTACTGCTCTAGTAAGAAAACCCAGCATCACACCCTGGGTTGCTTGCACACAGCAGTAAAGATTGTACTGTCTTCCAGGCTGTGCACTGTCTCAGAGAAGGGCCAACACAGGCTCTCATCACTGCCTGTCTATTACAATTGCCAGGTGCTTCTTTTGTATCTGGCTGTTTCTTCATTAAATGACAGATAAAAGGTCAAGGTTAAGAGTTAGAAGGAGCATACAAGAATCCTGACAAGTTTTGGGAACTCAGACTTTCTGTAAAGCTTTTGGGGACATGTCATAATGTTGATGGACAACTTTGAGCATATCCTGACAGCAGCTACCTAAAAGCAGCACTCTGATGGGGAAGCGTGTTCAGGCTGGCACAGCTCCATTCAGTGCAGAGGGAGAGAGACTGCAGTGAAGCCCTGAAGAGGTTATGTGTGAGGAGAGACTCCTTATTATGCGAGACAACAGCGATGTAACTGCAACCAAAAGCTCCAATTTCCAAACTCCACCCTGGTACATCAGTGCTGGGTTTTTCAAATTACACTGTGACAGGTGTGACTCAGCCTAAAGCCTGATGCTTCAGCACATCTTTCTCCACCTACTCTCTGAGTGGCTCCACAGAAATTTGGAAAAATACACCTGTGTATAGTTGCTTACCAATGTTGTCCAAGTTCACCAATGATATCAAAGACGTGAGCAGAGTCAGAGATCTGTGTGAAAAATCCATCCCTGTGTTTTCCAGCTTCAGATTTTCTTAATACTTAAGGAAAAATAAAGCAATTACTTATCAGTCTCCATCTCAGTGCCTCTGGAATAAAAATGTCTTACCAAGGAAAAGATCAGCTAGTGCTGCAGGCTGTTCAGTCATCCAGAGTAGTAGGCTGGCGATGAGGGGGCTACCCAAGAGCTCTTTTGGTGACACAGTATGTGAAAAGGCCAAAAGAGAAAATCTCTCTGATTACTGGATAGTTGAGTTATACCCTCCTTCCCTCTCCTCCCCCCTCCCCTGCCTTCTGGGAGTAGCAGTTCTTGTCAGAACCTGGGTTTTATAGCCTTGACTGTAAGCTAAGTTTGTGCCCAATTTTAACCACAAATATGTGCTGGTTTTAACTCTACTGGGCCAGCTGCATTCAGGGAGCAGACAGATCAAATGCAAAAAGGTATTGCACACTGCTTCCCATCCTCCCCACAACTGGGAAGCAAGGGAGATCAAATTGAGAAGATAATATCCACCGGCTGCCGTGCTCATGTATTGACAGAGCATTTGTGTGTGCCAGAGAAAAGCATTAATGCCTCTGAGCCATCATTGTAAGTGCAGATGCTGTTTCTTGCTTCTCCATTGTATCAAATCCTATTTGGGAAAAGGCTCTTTAAAGCTACAGACCTCAGTGAACACCAGTCTCTGAAGGCACCCCATTTTGAGAACAGCTAGCAATGTGACAGCCTGAAGATAAATAGCATGCTGCCATCTGTGTCCTCCGCAACTCAAAACAAAGCACTTTTCAGAGTGAGCTCAGTGGATATGAGAAGCTATTAAGTTATTAGCTAGATTCATGGGGACCTGAAGCACCACACAGAGAGCCACAGACTTGCTGCTGCTGGCAGCATGTCTGGACAATGGAGGCATTCAAACCAGCACAAGACTGAGGTATTCAGTAAGTTAACAGTAAGAGAAATAAAAAAAAAACAGTTGCAAAGACAAGGAGAGGGATGGTGAAGAGAGCCTCCTGGCTTACATGACCCGTGCTAATCCCACCTTGTGAGACGCCAAAAGAGATCTGCATCAAAATGGGAAAGAGTGAGGAGTCTCCATGGCTGAAAAGTGGTATTAGTCACTCTGTGCAGCTGTTCAACTAGCGATTCAATTCCATCCTGCCCAATAAATTGAGAGAAGAGAAGAATAAAATAAATACATGTGCCACAGCATAAGCGCATGCAATGCAGGACTGCACAAAACAACGTTCCTGTACAAGAGAGTTCAAATCACTGTGCAGGTGAGGTGCAACCCAACCACGGCCACGCTCTGCAATGATAAAGCATTCTGATGCATAAAGACTCTTGGCCTTTCAGGGTCTTTGCAAAGCCAGCAAATTTTAAGAAACAAAACATTACTAAGGAGCTGATAGGAACCTTCTGCAGCATTTCCTAGGTTTTCATACTGTGTAAAACTCACCATGTTTTAATCACAAACCACAGACTTGAACAAATCCAAAATATTCTGCATCCCACTGTTGCTGATGTCCTGTTTGCCCCAAAATTCAGCATTCTTTTCACCTACTGTAGCAAAGTTTATTCAGCCAAAAGGCAAGTGGTAGTGGACAGTGTGTAAACACTGCCACCCATCAAACATTTGTAGCCACGTGGCTCCATGGTAGTACTCCACAGAGAAAGTGAGAAAGGTTAGTTTACATCTGCAAAACAACTAGACCAATATTGGCACTGTAAAAAAACAAGGAGAGTAGTTTTTTCAATGCATATCTTGTATTAACCGAAACAGCCCAGTTCTGTGCGAGACTGGAATCTGCAGAGGTTTTAGCCAGCCTCGCCAGTAATTCATTGTGATTTCATACAACCTCACCACCCAAAGCAGACTCAGGCCATACCTCATTGCATCGGTGATACAATGTTTGGGGAAAAACCTCCACTTCCACCATACCACTATCTTCCAGCATGGTAAAAATTGAAACAGGTGTGAATCACAGAAGGGTTTTTCTCCAACATATTTTACATGCACACTCTATATTACTGCCCATTAAAATACAAGGTTTTTTAGAAGGTCAGCAGGCAGTGCTTAAATTCTAGTAACTAACTTCCAAAGGGAACGACACCTTTTTGAAGCTTGCAGTCCCCTAAGTCTCAGCACAACAATTACCGCCACGACCACGTGAATCTTTCTCCAGACACAACTATATTTGAGACGCACAGAGCCTGCTAGTACCTCATCAAGAGGGAAGAAAAAAGTCATCAGGTCATTCATAGTTATTCATAACAATAAAACAAAATTCCCAAAAGTCTGGCCCTGAAAGGTACATATTGGCTCACTTGTTTGCTATCCATTTCTGGAAGCTGCTTGATAGACATGGTTCAGTTCTGCTTCAGTGAGACAGGAATCTGTACTAGCTAAGAGATGTTCTGTATGCTCCACATTCAGACACTGGGGATTTCACTTGTAAGTGAACAAGACACAGGACATGTTCTCCATGTGATGAAAAGGTATGATAATCAAAGCGTGACAAAGATAAATATAGCATAGCCAACAGGATGATTCATACAACACATGCTTTTCCAGCAGGACTCCTTTATCACCTTGACCTTGACTCTTCTGCTGTATTTTATATGGAGGTAGAGACACAAAGCAGCATCCTTAGTTCTAATTAGCTCAGGAGCTACATACATAATCATAACACCAAATCATACCTTCAAAATAACTTGAATGGAATTGAAATTTGATTACAGATCATCAGACCACAGTATCTGGTCCACAAAGCCTTGGTTGGCATAAAGAGCAGAGGTATCTTGGGACCTAAAAATATTTATAAACCACAGCAATACAACGTCTGACGAGCAGAAATTAGGAAAAAAGACAGGAATCATAGAATCATAAAATCTTTGGGTTGGAAGGGACATTTAAAGGTCATCTAGCCCAGTCCCCCTGCAGTGAGCAGGGACATCTTCAACTAGATCAGATTGCTCATAGCCTCATCCAACCTGACCTTGAATGTTTCCAGGGATGGGGCATCTACCACCTCTCTGGATAACCTGTTCCAGTGCTTTACCACCCTCACTGTGAAAAATTTTTTCCTGATATCGAAATCTGCCCTTTTTTAGTTTAAAACCATTACCCCTTGTCCTACCGCTACAGGCCCTGCTAAAAAGTCTGTCCCCTAAGCATTAAAACTGGAACTTTTTAACTGGGCTTTGGAAACATTTATCACTAATATGGAAAACATTTCTCTCTCCTCTCTTTTTTCTTTTTTTTTTCTTTTTTTAAGAAGGAAAAGAGTGGCGCTTTTTTTTTTTTTGTTAAAGATCTGACTTGAAGGAAAGAGCGATAAAATAATTTCCAGGCTCTACCAGTGATGTTCTCCTGCGACAGAGAGAAGTCAGTAACACTGCATTGTGGAAAGAGGAATAAAAAAATTTTTCTGCATTTACTATAATTGTGGAGAATGTGAGATCTTGGGCATTAAAGTCCAAATTCTGTCTTTGAGGAGCCTCTGACAAGAAAGAGGTCTCAATCTTCCCAGTAACAGTAGTGTAAATAGAAAGGCAGAGACGAAGACGATGTGCTCAAAACCCTGCCATTTCCTGCAGGACTTGAGTTCCAGTTTGGCAAAACTAAGTGAATCAGACACAGTTTCCAGGCTGCCAAGTGCTTGTCCAAACCTCTATGTTCAGCAACAGAAAAAAAAAGATCTGTTTTCTGCCAGTAACGGTGGAAGGTTGCATTGGTTTGTTTTCATTTACATTAAGGAGCTCAGCCTGCATGTCAGGTGTATAAAACAAAACCACAATAGAAGCACCCACTAAGGGGTTCAGTAGTAGCCACGAAAGGTGCTTTAAAGCCACTGCCAAACATTTTCAGCTCCTCTGTTATGTACAGGTATCTCCCATACTACATCCCTCAACCAGAGGAATCGTGACTGAATTTGTTATGAGTCCCAAGGCACACCTCCTCATAGAAGATGCAAACCTCAGATGCACAACTACATTCCCTCAGAGCTGCTTCACCATACAGTCAAACCCCAAACCACATTTAGCAGGTGATTACCATCTCCCATTGTTCTTAAGGATGCCATTATAAAATTGAGGTAAGACAAAACAAAAGACTTCTGGGGAAAGCCCTACGACTCTTAATAGCTTGCACCAACTGGGGAAAGTCTGAGCAAGTCAGAATGAGCCTCGGCTTTAACATACAGAAAGGAAGT